CCCCCCCCCTGACCCCACGCTGTACAGGGGGCAGGGGGCTGTAAGGAGCATATTGTAAGGAGTGTGCTGCAGTGTCCTCAGCCTTGCACTGAGTGAGTGTGCTCATGCCCCCCCTCCAGCGAGAAGCTGTATATGCAGATGGCCGACAGGATGGCGAAGGACGGCTGGAAGGAGGCCGGCTATGAGTATGTGTGCATGGATGACTGCTGGCCCGCTTCCAGCCGCGATGCCCAGGGCCGCCTTCAGGCCGACCCCAAGCGCTTCCCCGGGGGCATCAAGAAGCTCGCGGACTATGTGAGTCTACCTGTGCCCCCCCACCCCTACCTACCACACCCAGATGGGTGACAGGGTGTCCCTGAGTAACGCCTTCTGACAAAGCCCACACCTGTGTCGTCTGCACAGTAAGGGCAGTAAATATAAAAAGTTTATAAAAAACCTTAAGTATAAAAGTAAAAAAAAAAAAACTTTAAAAATCTTAATAAAAATTAGCTTTTTAATAAAGTGGAAAATGTTCAGTTTGTTAGATTTAAAAAAACTGCAAAATTAGCAAAGACCTTCAGTTACTGAGATAAATATCCATGAATTACCCGTTAAAAGTAACTCTTAGCGCAACACTCCCCTCTGCCGGACAATATGTGTATCGACGCTTATCACATGCCGGTTAGGCATGGAAATTTCCCTGCAACATTCGGTGTTAATCTTACCTTTTTAAAACTTACAAATATTTACTTTGGAATGGACGTTTTGAACTATGATTTGGCGCATTGTGTAACAGTACAATGTAATGTTTTGCATATATAAAAACTTAGTGGATGAAATATGTCTTATTGTGAAGGTTTTTCTAACTTTAATCATTGTGTCCTGATCTTTTCAAAGATAACACCGTATCATAACTGTCTGGATGGCAGTTTTGCTAACACCATGCACTATATGAAGCTAGATTTTGGAGATCTTCGCTGGCTGACATCACGGACGCTTACTTATAATGCGTCACCATGCCATGTGCCCGCAGGTTCACTCGATGGGTCTGAAGCTGGGCATTTATGCCGACGTGGGTATCAGGACCTGCGCCGGCTACCCTGGGAGCTTTGGACACTACGACATTGATGCCAAGACTTTCGCTGAGTGGGGGGTCGACCTGCTGAAATTTGATGGCTGCTACATGCCTGACTGGAAATTGCTGGCAGAAGGTGAAGGAAAAACCATTCACTAAACATGACGTCTTTCTGATAGTCTTCTACCAAACTCCACACATCAACCGTACCACTGCGCAGAGGGTACAGGAATGAGCACCCCGCTGAAATCTTCTGTATAGTGAGACGATCGGTGTGTGGAGCTCGGTAAAACAAAATGGTTCCTACATTAAATTGCTCACTACAGTCTGTGGTTTATCAAGAGTAACCAGGTCATGATCTCTGGTAAGAGACATTTGAATTTTTTTTAGATGTATTTTCTGGCACTTTAATCACCCCAGAAAGAATACCATTCAGTCATTCCATTATATGCCATTATACTGGAAAGAAGCCCAACATTTCTACGGCAGATATGTCCAAAACATCCTAGATGGATAGACAGCACTGAAGCCCCTCTAAAACAGTGGTTCTCAACCTTTTTTTGCAACGCGACCCAATATTTACCATACCAGCTCAGTCACGACCCTACATTATGTGTAGGTTTAAATTAACACTATGATCAAGCACACAGTGCACTCTGCCATTTACGCCAATCGATGCCTATCGAACAAATCTGATTGGATGTGCCAGTGAATTTTAAATTAGGCGTCTTTGGTTTGGCTTCTTGGAGAGTGTTCACTAGTTCTGCGCTAAAGCATTTGCAGACACAAGACACATTTAATTAGAAGACTGGGGCAGGGACATCTGATCGTTGATCAGTATAGGAGTTTGCTGGTTTTGAACTTGTGACCCTTTCAGAACTTGCTGTAACCCAAATTTGGGTTGCAACCCATGGGTTGAGAATCACTGCTCTAAAATGTCTTTCAGTTTTGGGGTAAACTGCCCATTTAAGCATTTTTAATTCAAGTACAGTTCAGTTAACTTACAAGAAGTCACAAGTTTGTTGCCACCTTGAACTCTTTGCAGGCTACATGAACATGTCAAGAGCATTGAACAACACTGGCAGGAGTATTTTGTATTCCTGTGAGTGGCCCCTTTATGAGTGGGATCATCAGCAGGTAGGTCACATGACTTGTGGTATAGTAAGTGTTGGGCTTCTCGACGGTGACACTGAGTCATCTGGGCACAAGAGAATCAGCAGTTTGTTGCTTTACATCCAAAGGCATCTTACTGCCTCACAAGAATCAGACAGTAAGAGTCAGGCAATGCTTCTCATGGCCAACAGAGGTCCATTTCCAAAGATTTTCCAGCCAGTTATGTACCATAGTTTTTCTGCCTCTACCCTGATATAATTCCTTATAGCCAAACTACACTGCCATCCGGAAGACCTGCAACCAGTGGAGAAACTCTGGTGACATTTTTGATTCTTGGGCGAGTGTGACAGCCATTACCGACTGGGCTGCAAAACACCAGAATATCATAGTTCCAGCAGCAGGACCTGGAGGCTGGAATGACCCAGACATGGTAGCGTCAGACTGAGTGCTTCTCAATACTCCTGTTCATGTGTCTGCAGTTGATTCCACTGCACAATAACTTTCTATTTTCCACCAGCTGGTCTTGGGAAACTTTGGGCTCAGCTTTGATCAACAAGTGACCCAGATGGCCTTGTGGGCAGTCATGGCTTCCCCATTGCTGATGTCGAATGACCTGAGGGCTATTGACCCAAAGTCCAGGGATCTTTTGCAGAACAAGCAGGTCATTGCTATCAACCAAGACCCTTTGGGAAAACAGGGATATTTCATGTTAAAGGTAATTGGGCCAAAAAGGGGTTGATGCTCCAACAGGCATTTTGTTGAGCTATGCACAGACCACCATAACAATTGTACCACCGGATAAATGTATCTCTCCACAGGTGAACAACTTTGAGATATGGGAGCGACCCCTGTCCGGAAAGAGGCTGGCTTTGGCGGTGACCAACAAGCAAGATATAGGTGGTCCTCGTACCTTCTTCCTCACTCTGGGCCTAATGCCCAACGGGAATCTCTGCTACCCCAAGTGCAACATCACCCAAATCCTACCCTTGTACAAGGAGCTCGGCATCCATAACCCGAACACCACGACTCAAGTCTCAGTCAACCCAACAGGCACCACCCTGTTAATGATCAAGCAAGTCGGGGGCTCAGCTAAACCCCAGCCGAGCAAAGGAAGGATGCACATACTCCACAAGGGGAAAACCAACCATATTCTATAACCACGGGAGTGGCAATGCTTTTAGAAGGGTGAATAACTCAATGGGCAGGCCCACTATTTACCCAGAGCAACTTATTGTGCACTAATGACGCAACGGTACAGAGGCAAACAAATGGAACACTCTGCCTTCATCTTCCTCCAGATTATTCACACACCATGTCTTTTATGCAATTAATTTTAATAAAGTTGTTCTGCTCACACATTACTACCATTGGTGAATAAATCACAACCATGAAGACTCTCAATGAATAACAAGAGGATTTGTAGATTTCAGTTTTTATTAAATCATATCGTGAAGATTCAGCATCTTAGAACTGGATGACCTGGCCCTGAAAGGAAAAGAGAGAAAAGGTCAGTTTTTGGAGTGGTAGGTACAAGCAGCCGTTTGGAGGTGAGACAAGGGTCCCTCAATTATGTATGTTTATGCATTTCCTGACCATGCGAGTGAATTAGAGAAGCAGTGCACAGGGCTGCTTCCGTGACCGCGTCACAAGGACGCAGGAAAGGGGTACGTTCTGAGCCCAACAGCCAAGGCATGGACGTCCTTCTGTGAACTTCAGATTCACACATTCCTCTGGGTATTCTACACGTTATTCACTTTAAGTTAGAGTTATCGATTCTATGATGTATAAAACTGTTTCAATACTCATTTTTCATGGTACTGGTTCTCCAGCCTGCACTTCCGGGTCACTTCGCTGAGGCTCATAGGATTCTAGTGCACATGCATAGACCTGACTGCAGTCTCCCACATGGGGTGTTACTCAGACGGCAACTTCAGAGGTGTCAATATAGAGTTTGGCCAGAGTGGCATCTGGAAATACTTTGGTTTTGTGTCAAATGAGGACATTACACCACAGGACATATGCAAGCCTGTATACAAGCAATACTGACAAAGGGGGCACACACCACAAATTATCTAAACATGTACTGGACTGACATGCTACCCAATATAACAAGGTTCGAGAGAGATCTTATCAAGAGTATCACTTCTAAATATTAACCCGCCTGTTTGGGTTGAAGCAGGGATATGGGCTGTGTTCGGATCCAAACGATCTCGTGAGGTTGTGTTGATTAGTGTTGATCATTCAGACTAGGGCTTCTGCGATTAGTCGGTGACATCGATGCTGGAAATGCATCGACGCAGCTTTTATTTATTTTAATGAAATTAAAATATGACAACAAATATGTTTTCCTTTAATATCACTATGCAATTATGGGAGTAGTGCAAAATTATCATAAAACAAAAAGGAAGTTTTTCCGCTGATTAGTTTGTTGGCGTACTACAGGGGCACTAGCGCTATGCAAGAGCTCCTGAATAGAAAATACACCGGTGCTATTCTGCACCGGCAGAATAAAGAAAACCACCCCGAGTGTTGTGTGTCCACGTTTTTTTTAATTACCATTAATATGGCGAGCTTTTTAATATCTTTTGTTTGTGTGGCTACTAAATACACTCATTATTAAAGCCACTAAGTAGTCTGCCTGCTACCTTAGAATCTTCACTGAAAGGGCTTACTCTATGTGGCCCTATGTTGCCAGTGTGTGTTCGTGCGCACTGGGCTTGTTGGGACCAGGGTAGTTTCTAGCTAAATGATCAGGGGCTAAGTCAAGTTTACCTGGGTCTTAACTTTTTTTTTTTTTTGAAGAAAGTATAGGGGCTAAAATACTCAGGTCTAGGGTTACAATATATATATAAAAAAAAACTACAGCCCCAACTGATTGGGCCTAACAACGTCCATGGCTGGAACCAGTGTTTTTATCGTAAACTAAAACTGAACTGAAAACACTAAATAAAAGATCACCATGTCTTTACCGTGTTTATCCACAATATCTCCTCTTTAATAGATGTTCTGCTTGCCCAGGTGTACCTTTCTTCACCACAGTGCTTACTGCTTCCATGATTTACCAAAAGAATAGCATGGGGCCTTCTGCTAATCGAGTTTAATAAGCATAAGGGTACGCGCCACACTTATACAGATTGCTAACTTTTGGGCGTCACAATACGCATCTCTAATATTTTGGGCATACTGCTAATTTGCTTATTGAATTGTGGGTGAAAATATCATCCGTATAATGCTGAAAATGCAGCATCCATCATCTAAAGCCTTATAATAATGTTCAGTTTGTTATAAAATTAAAGAGTCCATTTAATTTTCTGGAGGAAAATTAATAATTTAGATTAATCGACCAGTCAGTAAAATAGATTAATCCATAGAATCATTACTGAAAGCCCTAATTCAGACACAAACTTAGAATCGTCCAATTGTTAGAAGTGTTTGTGCTTTGAGACATGACAAAGGAGGCATATAAAAGTAATTTTCTGTTCTATTATGCATTGTAATAATATGAAGTGACATTCTTATTTTTAATAGTGTTTATTTACTGCTCTCGAATATGTCTGAACAGGATTACAATGGCTACTATTGTATATAATATTATGCTATGACTGTCAATGTACCGCAAAGGTCGTTTTCTGTGATATGAGTTTACAAAACGAATAATTTAAATAATTTTATATGGAGGCTGAAACTGAATCACACCCTTAAGATTACCGACTCAGGTTAAGGACCGACTCTTGCGCTGAAGATTACCGGCTCAGGTTAAGGACCGACTCTTGCGCTGAAGATTACCGGCTCAGGTTAAGGACCGACTCTTGCCCTGAAGATTACCGGCTCAGGTAAAGGACCGA